TTCTTAAGAGTTACCAGATTTGCAGTATGTTCACAAAATTCAAACAACAACAACAAAAATATGGAGTGTAACCTAGTATGGTGCTTAGCATTTACATAGAATCTTTTTTTTTTTTTTTTAAACCAGCTTGAGGCTTCTGTTGGTGCCTAAATCACATTGATACATATAATTGGGTAACCACATTGCTACTGGCTCTCTCAGACTAAAAATTTCAGTGTCTGATAAATAGAACTGGTTGTTCATATAGAGGAGATCACTTTACAGGTACATATATTTATTCAGGTGGATGATTTTAGTGGGCTGTTACACTTGATATTGTTCACTATGAGATTATTCAGACAACCATCATCCCTAGTGAGGATCAATGATTTGCCCAAGAGCATAGGTTACAAAATAATAAAACAATGTTTTATTTCTGAAATATTTATTTCTGAAAATATACATTTGCTAAACTTTCATTTGATGATCATGGTACAGCAATGTTTAGACAGTTCCATTCCAATAAAACAATGCATGTACCTTATGACAAAGAGTATAGGTCAAAGTATGGAATATTCTTTAGTCTTCATGGCTTATGCCATGGGATGCTTTGTGATACCTCTGTTAGAGAAGAAAAAAAGACTTCATCTTGATCCTCCAAATGAGAAAGGAAAGTTGCAATTGGATGTCATCTTTGCCAATTATTTTGGGTGTAACGGGAGACAGGTCATTTCAAGAGTGAAGCAGTTGCCAGTTTGTAGTCACAGATTGTAACTGTGCAAAATCTCTTTCTCCCTATTCCTTCCAAGGTAGTGGAGGATTCTGCTGAAAAACTTACATCTACTTGTTGGAATTGAGTTTTTCATTAATTTATAAAAGGAAGCTCTTTGTTTTAAGGGGAGCAAGACTAAAGAGAATTCCTGAAATTGTGCATTTAGTTTTATATAACTGAACTCTATTGTATCCTGATATTCACCTAAAATTGTGAAGCTCACTTTATATTCCCATGCTGTTAAATTTTTTTGAGTATGGTTGCAAATTAAAGTACAATATTTCCTCACCCATGAGAGTAATTCAGTTTCTCTATTAGGAGATATTTAAAGCATTACCATTTTGCAGGGAGAGGAGCTAGTTTAAATAGTAGTGAAGTGGATTATCAGAATACATAAATGCTTGTCAGCATCTGTTTATATGCCCTTTTGAGAGAGTCCCAGAAGTGAAATAACTGGGTGAAAGGGGGCACATACTTTGTAGTCTTTGATGCATGCTGGAAAATTGCTTTCCAATTTATACTGCCACCGTCAATGAGAGAAGATGGCAATTTTACCACACTTGTTCATTACTATCAAAACAAAATGAAATGCCACACAAGGCTGCTCTATAAAAGCAGTATTATTTATTTTTTGCAAACAAATACCCTCGAAGATAGATACAGGCAAACCTATTTTCAGTAATTAGGATACTTGTGTTAGATTCTTTAGGTCAAGAGAGAATCACTTTGAGAGTACATTTGAGAAGGCAAGAAAGAGAAGCTGTGTCCATAGACAAGCCCTTGAAACCTGGGAGCATGAGGAGAACATTGATAGTGCAATAAGCCCGTTATAGAGAAAGATAAGTATTAATAGGAAAAACGGAAGAACGTCTAAGATAACATTTACCTCCATTACACGTTTGTATACAGCTGCAATCTAATTTAGAAATTACCAGTTGTGTTAGTTTTCTAGGTCTGGTATAAGAGAGCATATCTATTGAACTTGCTCCTAAAATTGGGTCATACATCAGTAGGGAAATGAAAATGGAGTGAAAATTTTCTCTAAGATAGGTTAAAACATTGTCATTTTTAAGGACCTAACATTTAAATAAGGTAGTGTGGAGTAACTCTGCCCCTATCTTTATGATATTCTGACAAATTTGACAGTGAAAAATGATATAGTCTGGAGAAAGTCTTCCATGATAAGCTCTATGGCTTATGCTTACAAACCCGTTGTATGTAACATGGAAATGAATACATCCAGTTGTAACCATAAATGACATAAAGTTATTCCACACATCACAATATGAATAAGACATGGAAAAATTAAATGTAGCTTTTAAATACCTACACTGACTCATACATACATTAACAACTATTTACTTGCTATGACTAAAGAAAAAGACAGGGATAAGAAATAGTATAAAATACTTTGTATCTGAAAATTATTGAAATATAATTATATAGTCAAATTTATTGGATACTAATCATTAGTAAAGGTGGGAGTAATAACAAAGTCTCTAAAGCACTCATTTTTTTTTATAAAGGGCATAAATCACTGTGTTGTTCATTTATTTTGGAGTAAAACAGTATTTCTGCTCTGGTGAAGTAACTGTTGGCTTCGATATACTTTGATAAGAACACTTCTTGGGCTCAAAACATAGTAAAGACATATAGGTCCAGTGGCATGGCACTGCTATGCATATTTGGCCATTTCTAAGCTTTCTCTCAATAAAGGCTTCTCTTCTGAATTACAAAAATAAAAACATTCCTCTTTCTTTCCCCAGTGCATCACTTTTAGCTGTACAAATTCATCTGTAATTAATGAATGGTTTTAGGGAATTTCCTCCTGAGATTTTTGGCTTTTGCAGAGAAGTTCCTTGAAGGCAGTCAACAAATTAAAACATGGTATGTTTTATAGTTTGTAAATATCACTAAGTCAATATCAAGGAAACACTGTAGTTTACAGGTTAAATACCCTTAGCAATGGGATAAAGAAACTCTCGAACAAAATGAGAATGGTGCAGAATTATACTTTAGTTTATCTTAAATAGTAACAACTGTTTTCAAAGTTTAGTTTTAGTCAAAGTCACTACATACACAGATTGTTTTTTATGAAAGTATTCTATAGCCACATATCTTAGATTTGCTTAATGAAATTTAGTCATTATTTTATGTAAATTAAAAAATAGAACAGTAATATTCAAAAACCTTTTATTTTGATTGTTAACTATTGAATATTTGATGTATTATTAGATTTATAAAATTATACAAATATCCCATCTCTTAAACTGAATTATTTCAAGCATCATGATATATGACCTTGACTTTAGTGTTCTTTGAGAGTAAGACTAACAAAAATGATAATCCACTAAAATATTTTAAAACCTTAAAAAACATTTGAGAAAAGGAATGAGGATATAGTTCCCTTATAGGGTTCAGATAGACACAAAACTTTGTGGCTATTATCTGATCAACTTGAATTCAGTGCATGGCTTCATTAAGTACTAGGTGTGCAGTATTTAAGTAGGACTGTTGACTAGGGTTAGTACTCTTTTTGCTGAAGACTCACTCTACATAAATGATATAATCTCATCATTTGGAAGAGTTTTTGAAGAGTTGATGTAGCAGGAGATGCCCATATCCCTTGTTAATTCAGACAGGGTTTCTCAACCTAGGAACATGATTGGTGTTTTAAGTGAAAAAACTTTATTATGTGAATTGTAGGATGTTTAGCAGCATCCATGGCCTCTATCCACTATTGGGTTACCATGCCCTCCTCCAGGGGATCTTCCCAACCCAGGGATCAAACCCAGGTCTCCTGCATTGCAGGTAGACTCTTTACCAACTGAGCTATGAGGGAAAACACTTCGTTACCATCATGGCATATAAAAAATAACAACCGATTGAAACAGCTTTCCAAATATATTGTCTATCAGGTTTGATATTTAAATTTTTTCTTATTGAGTCTATAGGTATTTTATTCTTCTCGTTTTATTCTTTCCATTCCCCCCATTTTCTCATCTGAAGTCTTTTTTCCCCTTTTAATTCTAACCTATGCTAAGTTCAATTAAACCACTATTTTGAGATATGTCTCCTTCCTTTCCTCTTGCAACTTATTTCCACTTAAAGGAGTATATGTTCCTTTCAGAAAAATCAAAACAAGTACCCTTAATCCTATCTTTAAAACCCCAATTATTCTTATCTGGCCAGAGATATAGATATTTTAGGATATGAAGATTGTGTTTTTTGTGAATTCAGCCTTGACTTTGTTGACACTATGCTTTTCTGTGATAAATTCATTATCCGGCTGTAATGCTGACTATCTAGAGTTTTGTACTTTCTCTTCACCCTATAATTCTGCTCCCATGGATGTTAGGCAGTTAGATTCTTGCTTGACTAGTGGAAAACTTTAAGTGCCTCCCTGTCACTTACTGAGATTTTCTGTTCCTCTAGTCATGCCAGAGCATAAGCAAAACACAGAACCTAGAATTATAGCTATTAAATACCACTTAAAATGCCTCATTCCCTGCAAAAAAAAGAAGAGTTCTTAGACTTACATCTGTACATTTATATGAGTGGATGGTTCTTTGAACATATTTGGAAGCGTGTCACTGCATCTAATTGAATAATGAAATAGAAGTGATGAAAATATTGGACTTTAGTGCAGCAATATGTGATTCTGTTTCCTCTTTTGATTTCTAAAGTACTCAAGTTGATTTGAATGTATTTAAATCTATTATCTGCACATATTTTAGTTTCACTGCATGAAAGTTTGAAACATTATTACTGTGAAAATGATTCTCTGTTAACTTTAATTGATGCTCTGATGCCATTTTTTATCAACAAATATTCTAAGACTTTTGTTATCATAAAACATATGAAACTTGTCTTTTAATTTTCCTATTTTGAATATAATAATTCATTTAGTATATCTGAAAAGTAGTGTCTCAATTTTTGCCTAAAATTTATGTATAAGGTTTACTTCTTTCTGGGAAAAACATTTATTTTAAGATATAAAGGAGATTGAGAGTTAAATCATTTGGAGATTCAGATTGAGAGTTTTATCAGAGTATTTATAGCCACTTTTTCTTAATGAACTTCATCTATAAAAGACAAAAAGACCATCTTTTTGAAGTTAATGGGTAAATTTTCATTTTGAGCAATGTTTGAGTTTTAAAGCATGTTCCTGTTTTATGTGTTGGTATTTCTCAATCTGTTTTTAATACTAAGTATATTAATAAGTATGTATATGTATTTTTTACAATAGGTTCCTGTCCTGAGACCACAGCAGGATGTGCCTTGGTCAAAGGTATACACATTTAAAATATACTTCAAACTTTCTTCATGAGTAATGTATACAAATATTATGATAATAATTTCATTATTGTCTCAGGCTTAGCTGTGTGGAATTGTAATATGCATTTATGTATATGATATATACTCTTTGATCTGACAAAATATGACTCTAGTGATAAGGTAACAGAATTAAAAATTTGAATTGTTAAATGCATAGTATTGCCTTGCCACAGGATGCCTTAATCCACACAACCTATATTCAAAGAACTATTGTTGCTAGTGTGCCTGTTAACAAAGCAGTGGAACTATTCTAAGGCTGATGGAAGATATTTAACATAGTCATTAATGATACTAATGAGTAAATTATTGAAATAGGATATAGGTCAGTTAAATTGCCTGTCAAAAACTACCTACATGTCTAGTTTTGGCAAATCAAATGTTGAAATCAGTTTAAAATTACAAATCAGCATGAAAATAAGAAGCAAGCAGGAAAATAAGTACACATATAGCTAAATAAGATGTTAATATGGTACCTGAAAGATAAGGGGGTCAGTACAGGCTGATAAAGGGTGCCTATGATTTCAAAATTGAATTCTGTTATTTTTTTTTTAAATGAAGCAAAGAACATTGCAAATATCAAAAAGTATAGTAATCTTGAATCCTAGGAGGGAGCTGAAAAGAAAATGTATACCATGAATTAAAAGTACTTGGTGGGAAATCTGAGTTAAGACCGTAGAGACTGAGATCCTTAGGGACAGAGTGGACAGGGTGAAGACTATTTAAGGTAAACTGAAATTCACAGATAGGAGCAATTAAACCCAGTTCCTCACTATGGAGAACGTAGGATGAAAAGATGAGCTTGATCTAACACATGAGGAACTTAGTGATAAAGTGTTGATAGAAGGTTTGATGCTGTTCATTTAGAGATATTTAAATATCAAATGGATTCACAAATGTCTGATTATAATTTCTCTAAATCTTCTCTAGATCGTTTATTCTCTTTGGGGTCCTTCCAACCCCACACAGAATTTGGCAGGGCAGTTCTTTTTATTTTTCTGCATGATAAAGTAACTTTATATTGAAAGAAAAGTTGGATGTTGTTTTGTGGTTTTAAGAAAAATTGTGGCTATATATGCCATCATGAATAATAATTGATGTCTGTTCTATTTCATGCATAGTTCTTTTTTTTTAATGCACTTATATACATATTTATATTTTAAATTTGGCTCTAAGTTATATTATGTGTTCCACATGTTACCCTTCCATGAAAGAATAAACTATTCATCTGCATATCTGGATAATTTTCTGAGATTTTAAAATTGAAATACACTTAGATTTTTTGCCTCTTTTCATAAGCTTTTCCTCTTAGTCATTTTCAGCCTCTATTCAGAGACTAGAGTAACTTTAGAATATCCAAGGAAAGCATGCCAGCCAGTGTGTTCTGCCAGACAGGGAATGAATGGCTCCAGGCACAAACCTCTGTTGTATCAGGGCTCTGGCATGACACTTGGCAGGGAACTAAATCAAACAGCACAATGCAAATAGTCTGTTTCCAATAGATGTGCAGCCTCAACCTCGAGCCTGCTGCTAGTCATTACTACGTTTCCCCCTGATATTCCGTGGAGCAGTATTTTTGATAATGAACTGAAAACTAGGGCATTTCCTAGGTGTTCTCAGAGTGTGAGGAAATGGGAGGATTATGGCTTTGAAACTGGACCTTCCTGAGTTTTAAGAGTCACTCTGTCACTCACTAGCTGTCCTGGCCAAGTTATTTCAGATATAAAATGGATTTAGCAATAATTTTCACAGAGATTTTGTGACTATTAAAATAATGAATTTGTCATAAAGCACATCTTTATACATGCTACGTAATAAACATTTAATAAGTGTTCTTTTACCACTTCCCATTTCTGTAATGAGTTGTTTTGTGTTAAACTTGTAAATAATTATCTCTCTCATTCTGTGAATAGAAGAGAAATGACTCTGCATTTGTTAAATTTGAGGTTATGTAAGCCTGTATAATATCTTTATCTTTGCACAATCTTTTTGATAAAAGAAGTGTTGTGAACTTCTTAGCCATTTTTATATTGGTTCCTTTTTTAAAAATATTACACTTGAGGGAGTTCCCTGGCAGCCTAGTAGTTAGGACCATCTTTCATTGCTGGGGCCTGGGTGAAATTGCTGGTCAGGGAACTAAGATCCCACAAGTTGTGTGGAATGGCCAAAAAAATTTCACTTGATACAAAGGGTCTTTATGTTGCACAAGAGTGTATTGCATGTCTTTGATTTAATTTTAGCCCTTGTTAGTGTGCTCAAGGATGAAAAACCATATTGTAAAATGTAGATGGCTTAGAAAAAGTATACCTCTCTCTTACACACCCAAATTGTCTTAGTGTTAATAGCTTACTTCAGCTCACTTATTGAGAAATCACTGTATCTCATATACAGTGTTAGGTGCTAAGAGTGCAGAGAAGAAAATAAATAGAGGTTCTCTGCCTTCAGGGAAATGAAAATCTTAGAAGGAAGGAGACTAGGAAACATGTCATTTTAACATGATGTGGTAACATAATACAGGGTTAAGGTGCCAATGAGAGGGCCTTACGAAAAAGTCATTCTAATCAGTCTGGCTCCCTGGAGGGCTTGACTCTCAGGTGTCTTAAAAGGTGATGATCAACTGGTTGGAATCAGTCAAATATGGAAGCACATGGTTGGAAGGTGTCAAAAAAGGCAGGAAAATCAGTTAGGAATCTGTTGTCTGAACTAAAAGAGAGATGGTGGTATGGATTTGGAATTGGAAAGTGAAATCCTCCCACCTGTTCTTGAAGGTAAGATTTAAGTTATTTTTGAAGGTTATTTTTGTAGGAGAAAGATGTTTATCATAGTGTTACTTATAATAATAGGAACAAAATTAGCTGTCAAATTATAGGGAAACTGTAAAATTATATTTAAGACATTTAATAAAATGTGTTATAAATAAATAACTACATAATTGTAAAAATTTTACTACATAATAGTAAAATTCATTATTTTGAAGATCATTAAAGGAGGCTGTCTTCTAAAAAATTAGGTCAAACTCTGAAATGGTATTGTGGTAGTTTGAGCATTCTTTGGCATTGCCTATCTTTGGGATTGGAATGAAAACAGCTTTTCCAGTCCTGTGACCACTGCTGAGTTTTCCAAATTTGCTGGCATATTGAGTGCANTCAACATTCAGAAACCTAAGATCGTGGCATCTGATCCCATCACTTCATGGCAAATTGATGGGGAAACAGTGGCTGACTTTATTTATTTATTTTTTTTTTGTGGCTCCAAAATCACTGAAGATGGTGACTGCAGCCATGAAATTAAAAGACACTTACTCCTTGGAAGGAACATTATGACCAACCTAGATGGCATATTAAAAAGCAGAGACATTACTTTGTCAACAAAGGTCTGTCTAGTCAAGGCTATGGTTTGACAGAAGCTCCTGCCCTCAGGGCTCTTCTAGACCTCATTCTATGTCTCTTCATCTTGTTGTTCATTCATACACTTTAATAGATCAATATTTGTAATAAGCACTTTCCTTGTGGCTCAACTGGTAAAGAATCTGCCTGCAATGCGGGAGACCTGGGTTCAATCCCTAGGTTGGGAAGATCCCCTGGAATCTAGTGAGTAAACAGCTTTCCTGAGTTCTGTGAGTCACTCTAGCCAATTAATCAAATCCAAGGACAAGGGTCATGGGAACTTCTGATTTATAGCTAGTTGGTTAGAAGCACAGGTAACAACTTGGACTTGAGATTGGCATCTCAGTATATGTGGGAGAGTGGGGCAATCTTATGAGACTGAGCCCTTAACCTGTAAGATCTTTGCTAAGGTGACTCTGGCTGGTGTCAGAAGTGGATTTTATTCTAGGATCCCCACTTGGTATCTAAGAAATGCTTGATGTAGTGAAATTCCACACATCTGGTGTCAGAAGCATCGTGAGTGAGAGTAAAGGAGAGCACTTCGCTTTTCCCATACAAGTTGAAAGTGGATATATTGATAGTGGAGCTTTCAGATAAGAACCTGATATTTTAGTTGCAGCCATGCAAAGGACTAACCTAAGTTATGCTTGGGTCTATGCTCATAAACTTCAAGATGATAAAGGTGTGTTGTGAGCTGCTAAATTTGTGGTAATTTGTTATACCGCAGAGAAAAGCAATTGCTGCAGACTTGCGTCCTCCTCAAATTCATATGTTGAAGATCTCACCCCAATGTGACTATATTTAGAGCTTGGTCTTTTAGGAGGTAATTAAAGTACATGACCTACAGGTAGGTTCTTGACCTGATAGTATTCGTGGTTTTAGAAGAATCTGTCCCACTACTCCACCATTCTTTGTATGCACAAAAAAAAGGAGTCATGTGAGCCCAAAGTTAGATGGTGGCTGCCTGCAAGACAACAGAAGAAAACTGAGTGACACCGACCTCTCCTCTCTGCATCCCTGGCAACATATGGTGTCATCAACCTTTGTATTTTAGCCATTCTGATAGATGCACAGTGATATCTCACTGTAGTATTAATTTTCATTTATCTAATGGCTAGTGAGTTTGAACATCTTTTCATGTGTTTACATGGCATCTGTGTATCCTTTCAATGAAATACCTCCTCATGTATTTTTTCATGGAAGTGGTGCTGCTGTTTAACTGCTAAGATTTAAGTGTTCTTATGCTTAGTATGTTGAGTTTTATGTATATATGTATATATGTAAAATATAATATATGATGGCTGATTGGAGATGGTGGAGACAATAAAAATGTATTATCTAGAAGTCCAGAGAAGGAAACAGTAAGAAGGTTGTTTTACATATGAGTTGGAAGCCTTGGGGAAATATCAAGAATAGAAGTCTATTATAAGGATGAGATACCTTCTTATACCACAGATACCAGGGCTTCCCTGATAACTCAGATAGTAAAGAATTCACCTGCAATGCAGGAAACCTGGGTTTGATCCCTGGTTTGGGAAGATCCCCTGGAGAAGGGAACCACTACCCACTC